TTACTCGAAGTAAGGACATACTCGAGTCGAAATTAGATCAGCATTCATAGTTTATCACCTGAAAAATGATAAAATAGCTTGAGATTTGATTATTCGTTAACCTAATTTCACGTAACATGAATTCTACTTTTCTTTTCTCATAAAATATGAATGTCCATTCAAGCAAGGTTGCTGAGGCAAGCTAAGGTTTATGAATACAAATTTTTAATTATGTTCTCAATGAAAAGTTGCACATAATTTAGAAAACTATGAATAATGATCTTGGAATCTGATATAAATTTTACAAGTGTTGATTTTTATTCGTCTAATAATGCTCAGATTGCTGTTCTCGTTTAGAATCTGCTAGAATGTCCGTTTCTCATTCTTGTTTATCTTTCTTATTGTACCGAATCTGAATTAAAATCTCTATTAGTGAAACAGCATTATTAGATATAACCGTTGTCTTTTTGCAGCTTCAGCTCTTTTGAGAGCTACAATTCTCATCATTCTCATTAGAAAAAAGAAAAGAAAAAAAAGAGAAGAAAAAAGGAAAAAGAACTTTAAGAATGATGAGAATAAAAAGTGTTTTTCATCTCCCATTTCCTCTAATTCTTATATGATTATTTAATCCTTATATATTTATCTCACGCGCAGTTCTAACAAAGGCAGTTCTATTTACGTTTTTATCTTTGTTCTCTTTCTTGCGCTGTTAAGCGAATATATAATCAACATCAACAAAAATTGCTCATTTATTAATTAAGAATATAAGGATTAAGTACATATACATTATCGAGATAAACGAGTATTAAATAACTGCGGAATACGTCGCTGTTGAAGACTCATCATGGGCGAGACTGCGAGAGTAGCCAGATGTAACGTTCAGGTAGGACAAAGCTTGTTCACTATTGCGCATCTAGATATTCTGCATTGATTTTTCAAATTAGATGCAATTTGCAGGATTAATGTAGAATTAATATTTCGACTCGGGAAAGACTTTTTTTTATCAAATCCTAACTTGTAGAAGTAAGTACCTGAAAAATGAGAACGAATTGTCATTGCACTTGGACAATCTTCTGACACTGATTTATGGTATTGATCGATATTCGATTTTCGGTACTGATTTACTCTTTCATTTCTCTACAAGAAAAAAAATTGATATGACTCGTTCATTTATCCGCGATAATTTGATGAATAAACTAAATATTGATCGGTCTTCAATTTTCGGCACTGATTTATTCTCTCATTTCTTTATAAGACAAGAAAAATTGATACGAATCAATCGTTTATTCGAGTTAATTTGTTGAGTAAATTAGAGGGATAAATACCTGAAAAATGAGAACAAATTGTCATTATACTTGGACAATTTTCTGACACTAATTTACGGTATTGATCGATATTCGATTTTCGGTACTGATTTACTCTTTCATTTCTCTATAAGAAAAGAAAATTATACGAATCGTTCATTTATCCGCGTTAATTTGATGAATAAATTAAATATTGATCGGTCTTCAATTTTCGGTACTGACTGATTCTCTAATTTTTCTATAAGAGAATAAAATTTGATACGAATCATTCTTTTATCCGACTTAATTTGTCGAATAAATTAGTGGGGTAAGTACCTGCAAGATGAAAACAACTTGTCATTGCACTTGGACAATTTTCTGACACTGATTTATGATATTAATCGATATTCGGTTTTCGGTACTGATTTACTTTTTCACTTCTCTATAAGAAAAAAAAATTAATACGAATCGTTCGTTTATCCGAGTTAATTTGTTGAATAAGATTAGAGGGGTAAGTACCTGAATAATAAGAACAAATTGTCATTGCACTTGGACAATTTTTTGACACTGATTTATGGTATTAATCGATATTCGGTTTTCGGTTCTGATTTACTCTTTCATTTCTTTATAAGAAAAAAAATTAATACGAATCGTTCGTTTATCCGACTTAATTTGTTGAATAAATTAGTGGGGTAAGTACCTGCAAGATGAAAACAACTTGTCATTGCACTTGGACAATTTTCTGACACTGATTTATGATATTAATCGATATTCGGTTTTCGATACTGATTTACTCTTTCATTTCTCTATAAGAAAAAAAAATTAATACGAATCATTCGTTTATCCGAGTTAATTTGTTGAATAAGATTAGAGGGGTAAGTACCTGAATAATAAGAACAAATTGTCATTGCACTTGGACAATTTTTTGACACTGATTTATGATATTAATCGATATTCGGTTTTCGATTCTGATTTACTCTTTCATTTCTCTATAAGAGAAAAAAATTAATACGAATCGTTCGTTTATCCGACTTAATTTGTTGAATAAATTAGTGGGGTAAGTACCTGCAAGATGAAAACAACTTGTCATTGCACTTGGACAATTTTCTGACACTGATTTATGATATTAATCGATATTCGGTTTTCAGTACTGATTTATTCTTTCATTTCTCTATAAGAAAAAAAAATTAATACGAATCGTTCGTTTATCCGAGTTAATTTGTTGAATAAAATTAGAGGGGTAAGTACCTGAATAATAAGAACAAATTGTCATTGCACTTGGACAATTTTTTGACACTGATTTATGGTATTAATCGATATTTGATTTTCGGTACTGATTTACTCTTTCATTTCTCTATAAGAAAAAAAAATTCATACAAATCGTTCAGTTATCCGCGTTAATTTAATGAATAAATTAAATATTGATCGGTCTTCAATTTTCGGTACTGATTTATTCTGTCGTTTCTTTATAAGATAAGAAAAATTGATACGAATCATTCGTTTATTCGAGTGAATTTGTTGAGTAAAGTAGAGGGATAAATACCTGAAAAATGAAAACCAATTGTCATTGTACTTGGACAATTTTCTGACACTGATTTACAGTATTGATCGATATTCGATTTTCGGTACTGATTTATTCATTCATTTCTCTATAAGAAAAAAAAATTCATACGTATCGTTCATTTATCCGCGTTAATTTGATGAATAAATTAAATATTGATCGGTCTTCAATTTTCGGTACTGACTGATTCTCTAACTTCTTTATAAGAGAATAAAAATTGATACGAATCGTTCTTTTATCCGACTTAATTTGTTGAGTAAATTAGTGGGGTAAGTACCTGCAAGATGAAAACAACTTGTCATTGCACTTAGACAATTTTCTAACGCTGATTTATAGTATTGCACAATATCCGATTTTCGATACTGATTTAGTCTTTGATTTCTCTATAAAAGAAAAAAAGATTGATATAAATTGTTCATTTATCCGCGTTTATTTGATGAAAAAATTAGATATTGATCAGTCTTCGATTTTCGGTACTGATTTATTTTCTCATTGTTTTATAAGACAAAAAAATTGATACGAATCGTTCGTTTATCCGAGTTAATTTATTGTATAAGATTAGAGGGGTAAGTACCTGAATAATAAGAACAAATTGTCATTGCACTTGGACAATTTTTTGACACTGATTTATGATATTAATTGATATTCGATTTTCGGTATTGATTTACTCTTTCATTTCTCTATAAAAAAAGAGAAAATTAATACGAATCGTTCATTAATCCGCGTTAATTTGATGAAGAAGTTAGATATTGATCGGTGTTCGGTTTTCGGTACTGATTTATTCTCTCATTTCTTTAATAAGAAAAGAAAAATTGATACGGATCGTTCGTTTAACAGAGTTAATTTGTTGAGTAAATTAGAGGGGTAAGTACCTGAAAAATAAGAACAAATTGTCATTGCACTTGGACAATTTTCTGAAACTGATTTATGGTATTAATCAATATTCAATTTTCGATACTGATTTACTCTTTCATTGTACTATAAGAAAAGAAAAAATTGATACGAATCGTTCATTTATCCGCGTTAATTTGATGAATAAATTAAATATTATTCGTGCACGATAGGGGGGAGAAGGAGAGGGATGGGCATAGGTGGTAGAAAGGCTGCTAGGAGAGGGGGATGAGAGTGGTGGAGGAATGGGAGCGAGAGGGAGGACGAGAAGGATTAAAAGGATGAGAAAGAGAGCGAGGAGAGAAAGTGTGAAGGAATTGAATGAATGGAGGAAAGCGAAAATCGGCGGTAGGAAATAAGAATTATAGGAGTAACGGCATAGAAATATAGATATATACATATGTATAAGAATAGATGATAAGCGAACAATTAATTATAAGAGATAAGCGAGCGAGTAGATGTAAGATATTTGTAAAGTAGATTTAAGGAGGGGCGGGAGATGGTAGTGTGTGTGTGTGTGTATGTGCGAGAAGATAGGGGCGAGCGTAATAGGAAGTAAGGAGGAGAGATTATATTGGAATTTGTAACCCCGCCGGGGAGAGTTTATATTGAAATTTGTAACCCCGCCAGGGGAATCAATAAAGTATACATACAATTAAATATTGATCGGTCTTCAATTTTCTGTACTGATTTATTCTTTCATTTCTTTATAAGAGAAGAAAAATTGATACGAATCATTCGTTTATTCAGGTCAAGTTGTTGAGTAAATTAGAGGGGTAAGTACTTAAAAAATAAGAACAAATTGTAATTGAACGTGGACAATTTTCTGACGTTGATTTACGGTATTGATCTATATTCGATTTTCAGTACTGACTTACTCCTTCATTTCTCTATAAGAAAAGAAAAAATTCATACGATTCGTTCATTTATCTGCGTTAATTTGAGAGATAATAATTCGGATAATAATTAGAAGATGCAATTTTTTACAAAAATATATATAGAAATGCATATGTACAGAAAAGAATCATGTGCTGTTGAACGAGGTATAAGTTTGTTCGCGATGCCGTGTTTCTCAAACCCGCAATTATAGGCGTACCATAGACACGAACCGCCAGTAAATGGGCATAGAACGGACACGCACCAAATAGAGACTTTACCGGCAGCGTCTGCAAATGGGCGTAATCAACGTAGTTCCCGGCTACAAATGGACGCAGATGGCGCTAAAATCAGTCATCAAAATGCCTGTCGCCAAAAACGCCGGTGTGGCCGTTCTCAGGCTTCCCTGTGACAGAAGGCTTAAGGAATTTCTATATAAAATTGGTTTTTATTCTTTTAAATTTTAGAAGATATTCCAATCAGATGCAAAAATTCGCTTAACGTTCAGGGGGCTCTGCAGTATGCAACGAATGAAATAAATGGACGCATTAGGACTGTTTTTTATCGCTGAACTAGTGTACACTTAGGGAACATAAAAAGAAATAGATATACATCTAGGAGTTAGTGAAAGGGAGAGAAGAAGAGAATAAGTGCAAGTTAGTGCAGCCAGTTCAGCATTAGAAAACAAACCTATTGATTGCACTCTAGGTGTATACGACGCAGGAAACAAATTTGGGATGTTTTGGTAGCAAAAGAAAGCTACAATCAAGTGATAGTTTTATTAGTAAAAGTTTACTAAGTTCGGAAATGTTACAGTGTAGGTGATATTCAGCAATTTGAGCGAAAGGTAGTACCGCGAAAATGACTCCAAAACGCAAGGTTAGTATGTATAGGTTATGAGATAGAATGCAATGAATATTCTATGAAATTCTATGAGTATTTTTGTTTCTTTTTGCTAAATGTTGCCATAGCCACGATTGAATTTTGCATTACGCATATTTAATTGACTCTACAATAATTACTATTGGTGTCAAAGGAAACACGTGCAATGTTAAATATAACAATATGCAACGGAAAATATTCCAGACGACGAGTTCTGAATCTTCGTCGACAAGCAGCTCTGGTTCCTCGTCAAGTAGTTCTTCAAGTTCGGATAGCGAATCTAGTTCATCTGATTCAGAAAACTCCAGTAGTTCTGGCAACAGTCAGAAGGTATCTGATACTGATAGAACTAAGAAGAAACCACCATTTCCAGCAACACGTCATGTCAGATCCAAGACTGAAACAGTTCCTATACAACCTCTGGAGAAAAATAAAGACAGGCAACCACCGAAGCCTAGGTCAGTTGTATATTCTTCTGAATCTGAAGAATCACCCAGCAAAACAAAATTGCCGCAAAAGAGAAAACCTCCGGCTAAACCAAAAGCTACTGCTACGGTAGCACCAGTTGTTAAAACACAGAGACTTCCTGCAAAATTGACAGCAGCACCAGCACAGCATAAAATAGGACCTGCTTCGAAACCAGTCAACAGCAAAGCCAATAAATTTTCTGGTACGTTTTATAATCATATATCCCAAACATTATATATATGTATACATATATATATAATTAACAATTTTGAAGGTACCACAAGTGCTAATGGAAAAGCCCCTGAAAAATCTGGAAAAACATCGGAACCAGTACAAAAAAGATTAAAAAAGAAGAGTATATTCAGTCCTGAAAACAGCAGTGAGAGCGAAAGCGAAGAGAGAGTCGCCACAAAAGTTAATACAATAAAGCCAACCAACAGCTCTGTAAAATGCTCGAAAAATCCACCAGCTAAAACCAAGATAAATGATACCAAGCAAAAGCCTGCAGTTGCAAGCAGACCTGGTGAATAACAATACCTTGCTATTGTTTCTGATAATATTCCTGATAAATCATCTCTGACGTTTAATTTTTTTGTACAGTTGCAAAACCCACACAACTACAGAGATCGGATAGCTCCGCGAGTTCCAAAAGTTCCGCATCCTCGGCTAGCACAGACAGCAGTTCTGATTCGGAATCGTCCGAAAGTATCACCAGTACTCAACCTTCACCGAAGAAAAAGGAGACGCAAACAAGCAGTACACTGACGAATACTATTATAACGAGTGTACCACCTAAGAGGCCTTCCGCAACAGTCGCCCCAGTAAAAGCTCAGAAATGTACGAAACGACAAAGTACGTTCTTTCTTGTCCATGTATACGATGCATTGCAAAAAAAAAGAAGAAGATAGCATTGATCTAATGTTACTTGTGCAATTAGATGCTGTCAAGAGCGAAGACGATGGAGATGCGTCTGCAAGCGAGAAAGAGGTGGACGATCACGGAAAAGTGAACAATTTGAAAACACCGACTAAGGGTAAGCGAAAATTGCAGACGCGCAAAGGAAGTAAATTACTCCAACTGCAAACGAAAGCAGCCAGTGATTCTGAATCTGACACAGGTATGGAAAACGGTAGATAAATTTATATATATAATATTACGAATTGCGCTAAGCTGACATATTATTTGTAAAGAGAGCAAGAGAAGCGCCAGCAAATCCCCTGTCAAACGTGCTGGGCCATCCACAGGTCCTAGGCAGCCTTTAGTTGCCAGCAGGTCGACCCAGAGCAGTGGTACTACCGTCAACACTACTGGTAACAGAACGAATCAAGCTCCTTACAATCGAGCACGCGCGACGAAGGAGCGGGAGTGTCCGCTAGCTGCAACCTGCGACTCGCGGGGCCATCTTTCTGGCAAGCTCGACTCGCATTTCACCCTGGACGCGTGTCCGTTGTATCACAACACGACGCCGCAAACTTGCTTGTAAGTTGATACAAATCGCGTCGTTTGAGAACGTTTTTAGTACAGCACGCTTTTAATACAGGCTAATAATAGGTGCGATTTCCACATTCCAGGGAGTTTTATAAGGAGAGAAAGAAACGGGAAGAGGAGCGTAAGAAATCCGTGGCGAATCTAGCCAAGAAATCACCCAAAGGTGTACATCAAACAACCGAGCAACGCAATTATCAGCTTAAGGTGCGAGAAATGAGGAACAAGTGGAAGGCCGGTGACGGTAACGACAGCGACAGCGGTAGTGAGATGCAGGGGAACGAGAAAGACAGGCAGCCTCGGTTGAATAACCTCACACCCGATTACGACTTGAAACTATTCATGGAGGCTCAAGCGATAGCGAGCGAAAAAATCGTAAGTATCCAGTTTCGATCAAGTCTCTCAATCTCGGTTTGTATCTCGAAAGAGAAAGGACCAACGGTACAAGTTCTGACTTTCAATTAGTTCAATAGTTCAACTTCCATGCTAGAACTATCGATGATTAACGCGACTTATTTCGATGAAAGATGACAGGAGAAAATGCTCCGGACCGCTCAGATGGTTCTAGCGTCAACTGCAAATTAAAGAAACACGTAAATGGATCCTTTATCTTCCAAGGTAGATGTATAATTTACACAGCGGGGACAGTTTTGGCATCTGAGCTTGTAATCGCACTTGGGCGCGGTTACTTCAAATGTGCATCGTATATAAGCGCTCCACTTTATGAGTACTTTCCTTTCGTGCTTAAGGAAAAGGAATTGAAAGAACTGGATTACGATGGCGAAGGTAGGAACGGCGGCGGCACACGGGTCGTGGAAATGGGAAAATGGGAGATGGAGGTATGGTATCAGAGCCCGTATCCCGAGGAATTCAGTCGTGCTCCGAAGCTATATCTCTGCGAATACTGCTTGAGGTACGCGAAGAGCCGGCAAGTGCTAAGAAGACACAGGGAGAAATGTTTGTGGAGGCATCCACCGGGGCATGAAGTGTACAGGTGCGTACATCCCATCCGAATATTTCGTTTCTTTTATGTATTACGAGGCAATGTTACCTTCAAGATCAGGTGAAAAGATGTAAGATCCAATAATCCAACTTGAGAGAGATCAACTACAATGCAACCAATAAAATTGCTCTCTAGCAAGACTGTTTAAGACTGCGAAATGGTCGCTAGTCGTTTTTTCTTTATTCTTTCTTTTTATTTTTACTCTTCTTGTTTTTGATCGACGATCACGGATGGGAACATCATGGGCACGATTTGTGTGTTTACAGAAAGGATAAGATTGGCGTGTGGGAAGTGGACGGCAAACGCTACAAGCAATATTGTCAGAATCTCTGTTTACTAGCCAAATTCTTCTTGGATCATAAAACGCTGTATTATGACGTGGAGCCGTTTCTCTTCTACGTCATGACCATCGGTGATTCTGAGGGTTGTCATACAGTCGGATATTTTAGCAAAGTGAGTACAGAGTTTCTATCGCTGTCGTTAACTGATGCTCATTTCTTTTTTTGTCGAAACGAGATGCGAGCGGACGCGGCATGTGAATCTCTTATACGACTTCGTTTAGAAATGTTTTATTGCTATTTTAAGGCAATCGCAAGCGATTCGATCGATGTAGGACAAGCTTGCGCACGGAACGATATTAAAAGACGCAATTGGATACAAAATATCGCGAGACTGCTTCAGTTCCACATGATATCGCGATAAGTTTTCTCTCGACCTCGTCGTCGACAAGTTTTAATCTCGCGTTACAACTCTGGATTCCGGCGTCTGGGGCCGGCGTCTGCCGGTCTGTCACCTGATTCAGACTTAATTCAGCTTAGCGGTTCGCTGAAATCCTTGTATAAGCGCGTTCGCGTCACGCACTTGGGTGCTAAACGCAACGGTGATAAAGTTGCACGCGAGATCCTCACGTGAAACAAATGGAACCGGTCGAAATCGGACTATGCCACGTTTAGCGTCGTAAACGAAGCACGAGTACGAACCGTGGCGAACAGCTGAGCAGCTGAATCGTCGAGTCGTCGAAAAATAAGATCAAGCGTAGCGTAAAAGAAACACCGCGCGCGATGCGGACTGTTCGCTCGCTCTCGGCCTCGCGTAAAGTCGAGTCCCGGACTCGGACAGCCGGCAACGGGGAGTGGCATTAATGCTCGGCACGTGTGTTTACAGGCACGGTCGTGCATGCACGTATTGTCGGTTGGCCTCTCTCTCTCTCTC